ATGGCACAAGCATATGGAAGGTAGCAGAAAAACAACACTGCAGGTTCAGCCTAAGCAAGCCTCCTATTAAGAATGACATGCAATTAATTTTTGTCAAGGTTTTAAGAAACCTAATCATTTGCACAAAAGCATGGTGTATGTGTGTGTGTGTCTCATTCAAGGGGGAGATGATCTGTGCTTTCCTGATGAACCTTTCAATCCTAGTGAAATAGCATGAACCCTATCTCACCTCTTCTCAGGTGCTACTTATACATGATTTTGCATAATGATTTCACACAGAATTATTTTTCTCTGGTAACATTGTGTCCAGTAATAATCGGTTTTTCAAAAGCACATATCAAGTGCAAATCTAGAAGATTCCCTTTAAAGAATTTGCCAACCCCAGCAGCACACTATCACTACTACAAAAGCTTATGCCGTGTGTGCAAGATGATGCACTCACACTAAAGACCACTTTCTCTAAAGGTTTAATGCTTGTTGCCAAATCAATAATTCTTTCAAGGCACTGAAGAGTTATGCAGATGGATTTCCCAAAATATATTAAACAAATGCTTAAACCATTAAAAAGCCCTGAGTCAGACTTCCAGTAGCATCCTGAAATTGCTGGTCTCAAGATAAAATGGCATGTATGTTCATTTGATAAGACAACGACAAGGCCCCTTTGCTTGCTGGAGAAAAGCTGTGTCTGGGAAACACAAGCAAGCAGCCTGTTCAGGAAGGAGAAGACTCAGCAACACTTTCTTCCACCAATGGCACGTGCCAACTAGAACACGCAGTCAGGTGGGTCAGCACCATCATGCTAAGTCACTGCCTGTGTACTATTCTTTCAATCCCGAACCAAACAAAAAGCACCCTCAATTTTAACCTCGGGTGCCCATTTCCTACGTGCTCAGAGTAAGTATTACTGCTGCAAACTGTAATACTCAGACAGAAAAGGAGGTAGAAAATGCCAATGTAGCAATTTATTAAGTTCAATTAATCAGTTTCACTATCTGGTTCGGATATTTGCAATGTATTTTTACCCACCACTAACAATTTATCAGTAAACCGAGACTTATTCTAAGGAATTTTCCTGGTGCAGTCAGGTTAGTGTTGGCCTGCTAACTGCAAGGTCATTGGTTACAACCCACCAGCTGCTCCACAGGAGAAAGGCAAAGCAATTTGCTTCCACAAAGATTTATACCTTTGGAAACCCTGCACAAGGTTGCTATGAGTTGGAATCAACTCTATGGCCGTGGGCTTGTTTTTTGTTTTTGTTAGTAAAGTAGCAAAGCGATGTACACAAGAGATGGAATTAAACAGTTTCCTCAAATTTAATGTTTTAAAGAAGTACAACTATAATCATTAATACTGCTATAGTTACGTATGTGTATATATTTTTTTTAAGTTCCAAGTCTTTATATGATGATCAAGTAATATCAGTACACATTCCTATCATAATATTCAAGCAAATGAAGTTAAGTTGCCTTTCTGAGAGGAAAAAGAAAATATGGCGAACATTACAGATAGACAACTGACACTTTTTAGCAACAAGGCACAAATAATTTTTGAAAAACTATTATCTTCCCAATTTAGTGCACATTCTGAGTTAACTTTATGATCCCTTCTGGTTCATGATCAATAAAACTCCTCCCAACTTAGAGGCATTTAAAACCTACTCTGTAATTATTACTGTCAATCCTTCAGGGAAGGGGGAAGAGAAGAAGTGAGGGCATCACCAAAATTCCACAACTTGATGCTCGCTCTGACCTAGTCTTACAAACACTACTCAGAGAAGTCAGAGGCTTGGGGACTGTGTACAGCCAAAAAGTCTCTCAGACTCTATTTTTACACAAATTACTTACTATACAAACATTTCATACACTCAAAAGTTAAGTCCTTTTCCTTCTGGATTAAAAAAAAAACCACACAACTAACCTGTATTAATACCTATATTTTACAAAGCACTGTTCCATTAAACTACACTAAAAAAAGACTAATTGAAACACCCCATTTTATTGTTCTATTAACTACACTCTCAGCTTCATGCTTTCATGAAATTTACATGATTCTCTTTTATGAACTACGCTAAACATTGACTTTTCTGTTTCCTACTTCCTGAAATCCCACTACTCTCCCTCTTTCCCATCCCACCCCTCATTCTCTTAGCTCATCAATTTAATTTCTCCCTAGTCTAGTAAGGGTTCCGATTTCAGAATAAACAAAGAACAGCATTTGGGCAACACATAACGTGGCAATGTGTTCCTACCAGTAAAAATGACCCAGGCAAGCTTTGAAATACAAAAATTTGAAATAAAAGCATCTTAAGAAATATGTATTTCAATATGCTACAGTGTCCAGCTCACAAAGCTGGACATGAGAAAGGTATTTCTAACTTTACTGACCAATTAATTTTATGCCTCAGGAGCTAGCAGATCAATTTGTGATGTTTAAAATACAAATCTCTTAATCAAGCATAATTTGGCTATATAAACTAAATACTTATATAAATTTCCCACACTAATACAAAACGATCTTGTCTTGAAAAACCTGTTTGCCCCACAAAATTAAATGTCTACAGTACAAGCAATAAGATTGTTAACTGAAGTGAACAGGAACTATCGGAATAGCACCATCAGGTAAACTGTGTGTGTTGAGTAACAGCAGATTCAAGGCGGGAGGGGTCGAGACAACTCTTCGGAAAGAGTGGAAGCACTGCTATCCGTACCCGTGGGTCCCTGCCTTTGGATTACAGATGACCTCACATCTATACCTGCGGCACAGTAACTTCAGTACGGGCTCACATGCTGCCTGCTTGTTTTAATGTTGTGTATTTAGCCCCTGAGGTGTAGTAGGTTGCCCAATAAATACTGTTTCGAATGAGTGCAGGTCAGTTATTTTACAAAAGATGTCCTAGGAAATTAAAAATCCTCTTGAGGCACAGGATAGAGGTGACAGTGAGAAAAGACTACGCCTAATTAGGGGCGCACAGCCAAGAGACAGGATAAGAGGTAGCAGCAGTTTCATGGAGGTGGAGGAAAGTTACTTAAATAATATGCTCTTAATCTAGTCTCTCACAAACCCAAAAAGCTTTTTTTTTTAAAAAAAAAAGTCATTTTGTGGGTGTTTAAAAACATGAATAGAGAATTATCTCCTACTCATAAAACAAACCTTCAGGTGGTGGAATACAGAAGAAAATCCACAAGTACTGAGCACAAAAATCATAGTGACTTTTTACACTTACAAATAGAGGTTTACAACTTTTTAAAATATTTTTAACACGGAGGGAATAATTAAACTAAGTCTGAAAGAGTAAATTCAGCACTACAGTCTAGGAGGTAAATGAAATGAGAGGATTTTTAAGCAGAGGTGCCAAACTATTGCTAAGTCTGTCAAGAGGCTCCTCCTGCCTTCCTATCTGCCCTCGCACCAAAGACATGGCTGGCTATGGTATGAAAGGAAAGAAAATCCCGATGAGGGGGGGTTTCAAATCTGCAGGAAAACAGTTTGTGTGTATCTGAATTTTACTCATCAGATGTCCTAGCTGTTCTTAACTTCAAAAGATGTTGGGCAGGGGGTGGGAGAGATGACCTCAGGTGGCCTTTTTAAAAAAAACGTTGAGTAAAAATAAAAGTTTAATGATCTGTCCTAAATGATAACACAAGATACAAAACAGCTCAGCTGAGATGAAAAAAATCAAGACAGCAAAGCCCCTCACTGCTTTCACCAGTACTTGCCGAAGGCAGCAGCAATCGAACAGCCAGAAACACTGTGCTATGCAGAGCTAGAGGCTTTGCACTTTCATGCTGAGTTGCTGTAGTAGAAACAATGAAACAAAAAAGCTAGGCAGATGCCCCCCCTTCCCCACTACAAAAATGATACTTATCCTTAAAAGTAAGCTTATGCACAGTATATAACACACTATTGTAAATAGCTAGTATATTTATAATCTAGCAGCAACGAGTCTGAAGACATTTCATTTAGCCTAAATGAACTTAAACCAGAGGAGGAAATGATTACAGGCTCAAAAACAACAAAAAGTTTAAGACGACAATCTACAGGCAATGAGACGTGTTCCTGTCAATGTCCTGGTCATTCTGTCCACAGTAAGCATTAATTATTAGGTTACTGACTGTGCTTTGAGTATTGCTGCAGTTTACATAATGTCCTCGTCTATAGGTATAAAGATAGTCTGTTTATTCATTGTAAGTCCTAGTAACTGAGAAGGAACAGAAGGTCTCCACTGAAGGCAGAATCAGTAACACTCGGAGTCAAATGAGTGTGGAGGAAAGATCACTGCTTGGGTAGCTGCATTCACCCTTCTCAGACAGGTACGTTTGGTGCACTGGAAAAGCCAAAAGGAACCCAGAGGCCCAAACAGAGCACTTTCACTGCACAGCTCAGACCAAGCCTAGCTAAGGAACCACATGGGGAAAAGGGTGCACTTTCGTTTTCTAAGAGGCTGGCTGAACAAAGCAATGTATACATTAACATGAGAAATGAAATTGTTAGTGATCAGTTAACAGGTATTCTGTTAATGGATACTCCCACCCCCCCCCCCACCCCCCGCCCCACGCCCGCCTTCAATTCCTTGCTGTGATTGCTTATTTCATCCTTTTTTGCATTTTTCAGTAGTTTTTACACGGAATTTCTGATCCAAGTTGATCTTTTTTTCCTTTTAAATCTAAAAAACAAGCTTGATACAAAATTATTATTTTATTCTATACTTCCATTTACTCTAAAATCTTAAGAAACAACACTCACAAAACTCTGTTATTTTGTAAAGAATACTCGCTTCAACATTCCCTTAACTATCTAGAACTTGGACAATAATTTTATTATTTAATATGGGGGATATAATGGACGTGTCCCTTTAATTTGGTGCATGGCTTTTCTAAAGACTACTGTTAGCTCACTGGATAAAACCACAGTAAACTGAAGGGTAATGATCACAAGCAATAATGTCTTTTTGAGATCTGACAAATTATAAACTATCAGTGAAAATGAAACAGAAAGGAAAATTGGGAAACTGATATAAAATTTTATCCTTGCAAGCTAAAAGTGAATCACCTGTGAATTACATAGATATGATATGTCTAATTACATACAAAAAAACATGGTTGCAAACACTGCTTTGTAGAGATTTTCTTCTTCTGTTAGATTTATAGTTTGACTACTCTCTATGATATTAGAAATTAATTCATTAGAACCTCCAACTGGTTTAAAAGCCTGCTAACATCCCAAGAGCAAACACTGGAGCTAACAGAACGCACTGTGCTTCTACGTTAATACAAAAGAATCCTTCGCTCAATAGCCTTGCGACAGATAGGACATTCGCTCATTCGGTCTCCACAGAGCTGACACGTCCCATGACCACAGAGGAAAATCATATTCTTCAGACGGTCCAAACAGACGGGGCACATTGTCTGAAAGGTGAGATAACAAAGAAATAAATGCTGAGACAATTACTTGTGGCAACTCTGTTAACATTAGGGTTTTTTTTGTTTTTGTTGTTCAGGTTTGACTTAAAATGTTAAAATGTCATTCCTGTAAAATAAACCTATGGTTGTACTGTCAGGAGAACACAAAAGGAATTCTCCAAACGTATTAGAAATAGGTAAGAACCGCCTCTTGCAGTCTGCTCACATGCTTCGACTCGGGCCCTATGCTGCTTTTCGATGAGCTGTATCGGGGGAGGAGAGAGCACTGAAGTCACCTTTCCCTTGCCTTTAAGATTTCTTTACACACACGCACGCGTGCGTGCGGGGGCTGTGGGTGGGGGGTGTGTTTTCAAATGTTTATGGAAAAATGGAATTAATAATTAACAGAACTTTTTGCCCAGGGATTAAAAAACATACAGAAATGTGTACCAGTCCTAAGGATACAATTCCATAAAATTTTACAAAGTGAAATAACACATGTAATTGGTACCCAGACCAAAAAATAGATTATCAATACTTTAGAAATTTCCCTTGTGCCTCCCCCAAGCCATTCCTGGCCAAAGAAATGACTACCCTGAATTTGAAACACCACCTGCATGGTTTTGACTACGTTTGTATTCCTAAGCAATATCTTATTTTATTAGATAATAACAAACTATTTCCCAACATGCTTTTACAAATTTATAATCCCCACTAACAGAACGTGTCTGAGAGCGAGGGCTGCAACACCTTCTGCATAACCCTCTTTCATGAACAACCCTTAACCGTGGCCATCTGATGAGCGTGAAAGGGCCTTTCCCGAGTTTAATTTTCGTTTCCTGGTTGTAAGTGTGCTTGAATTCTTTTTCACATGTTTACTGGCCACACTGGTGGTTCTTATTTTGGAAATGTTCTGATTAACTCTTCTAATAAGTATTCATTATACTCAAGTATGGTAAGCAATACATGAATATAAAGCATGCTTACTGCAGAGGACACTAATAGTTTTATTGAAAAAAAATTCAATTCTCTAAAATTAGAAACTTTGGTTAACAAGGAGGAATCATTATTACCTGCTCTTTAATGTCCTGTAACTGCTGCTGCAACTTCTGCACATCTGCATTGACATTGGTATTATCCTTGTCCTTTTGTAACACTGGAATATTCCCACTGGCTATAATGTAGATTTAAAAATCTAAATGTTATTACAAAGTGATTTCTTTCTAAAATTACTGTTTTGCTTATTAATAAAAAACACAAGACCTTCACACTTGAACAACAGAGATAGTAACGACACTGATGTCACAATCTTTCATCTGGAATCTTCAAATAAATAAGTGTGCTGATGATACATTGTATTTTGTAAGACAGCTACCCAAATGTGCTTTCAGGATTTTCCTTCGGCATACGCACATGGCAAACTTGTCTTTGACTGTGCTCTGCATGAGTCCAGAGGGCAGGCAGCACAGCATGAATAAAGTTTTACCAGTTGCGGAAGCAATAATCTTAAACTGAGGTTACGAGGGCGGCAAAACTCTGTCTCCTCTATGTCCACATTGCCTTGTTGTTAAGAGGGTGACTGAAGAAAGGCCGCAAACAAGTGGTTCAGCAGTACAATCAATGGTGTCGCTTTTCCTACTTTCCTGGTCTCAAGCCCTGGTTGGGTGAACACCGGACTGCTAACTGCTAGGTCCACGTTTCAAACCCATCAGCTGCTTCAAGAAACAAAGATGAGACCGTCTGTTCCCCAAAAGATTAACGGCCTCGGGAAACCCTCTGTCGGGTTGCTATGAGTCAGAATCAACACGATGGCAGGGGCTCTGGCTTTGGTTTTGACAAAAGCCCTGAGCAGAACCGTGGCAACACCAGCATGGTTCCTAGTCTGTTCACAGAACATGTTCACAGACAGAAAATCAAAGACGCCACTCAGCTCTTAAGTTGAAAAATCTCGTCACACCTGTGCCTTGAAGAGATGGAATGTAAATCATGAGTTCACCTCTAGTTTATCTTCAGTTTCTATCTCCCAAACTTGCGATTCCAGAAAAACTTCAATACATCAGAGAAACAAGCTACATAAAGGATTGCGTTAATACTTTTGCAAACTGAAAAAATCCTGTGTAACAGGATGTCACCCTAAGTTCCGTATTAAAAACAGCACATTTTCTTCAAGGCAGAAGACCCCATGTTCTTTACACAATGCACGCACACTTCTCGAACGACACACGCTTCAAGTGCTACCATCACTTACAGAGATCGTCGGAGGCATCCTCGGCACTCCTCCCTCCACAACACATAATGAAAGGCACTCTCCGCTCGACGAGCGCCCGGCACTGAACACACTTCTTCATCAGGTTAGCACAGTCTGGAAGACAGTAGCAAACACGCTTTTCAAAGGCAGAAGGTGAGCAAGAGTTCTTATTTTTGTATCTTAAAAATTAACTTTACTTTATTATTAAGAGTAATAAATGTTTTGAAAAATATTTTTACCAATTTATACCCCCCCCACCTCCCCCCCCAGCAGAGCATGAAATTTAAAGCTGATATACATTTTACATTTACCTATCTGCCTGCCAGTATTTCTCCAATCTAATAAACATGGAAAGTCTCAGGTGGACACTAAAATATACACTGAGTGAATTACAGCAACAGACTTCTACCCCCGAAAAATGTTACCAATCTGACAGCCCTTCATTATGAAATTAATGACACTAGAAAATATTGAGTAAATTGTGAAAGTGACTGTTATATTTTTAAATAAAGAACAATAACTATTTCAATCTTGAGGCTTATGGAAAGGGAGTACTCTTCATAAATTTCAACTAATAGCATAAGGCAAAAAACTCACAGCATGCTTCAACATATTCTTCCCTGCCAGCATTCCCTTATGAAGGTGCACTCTGTATGTGCCCAATGTCTTTATCATTTTAAAAACAAGAAAAAACAAACTGTGGCAGGACATCAGGGATAACTGATGAAAAGCTACTAAATTTTAATAAAGCACAAAGATAATGCTGTGGGCAAGGTGGGAGCCCATCCTCTGAATAGTGACACATGGGGGCAAGGGTTGATCAAGGTCAATCTTTAAGTAAATGATAAAATTGCAAAGCTTCTTTGAAATTCTTCATTAACAAAATGAAAAAGGGGGTGGGGGGGATAGAGTACGGAACATGAACAGTATGAACTTAAAAGAACAAGGAGGTATAAGAGAAAGCAAAGGGTTTCAAGAAAATATGTTTAGGAGACATTTTAAAGCATATTTTAAACCAGGGGTGGGGAATGTGTGGCCCTTGAAGTCATCCATCCCAGCTAACATCACCACCTCACCTAAGAGAAGCAGTTCCAGCCATCACATTAGGAATGAGTTAATAAATATTTGACCAGATGGCCCTCAAATGATATTATAAATATACAGATGGACCTTAGCAGAAAAAAGGTTCTCCACCTCTGTTTAAACATTAACACGGCCCTCACAAAGCAGATTTCTATGTGGCCCCTTAATGGAAACCCAGAAATCATAGTCCAGCTTGGTTTCTATATGGAAAGTATTCAGAGAGGCAGTATTAAAATTAAGACAAATGAAGTTGTGCTAATTTTCTATGGTGAAGAGATCAGGCTGCATGTCTCAACATCAATTTTTCAAATTCATTTCCATGGTTTGAGAAAATAAATAATTTTCTGGTAAAAGTATGTGAAATAAAAATCCAAACTAGTCAAAGATTTCTCTCACACTCAGGAGCAGGAGGGAAATAGCTGACATTCTAGCACAGAAAAGAAAAAAAGAAGGTACTAAAGGCCGGAATTTTGTATGTGAGTTAGTGACAGCAAGCACAAAACTCAGAGTATCTGTTACACAGTTTATTGTTAGAATGTTATTCAGGAAGTTTTATATGGGCTACTTACTCTCACAAGCACACATGTGTCCACATGGTTGAAAAAGAACAGCTGCTTTCTTGTCAGAGCATACCACACATTCTTCAATCTGCAGAAGGCAGTTACAGTAGAAAAGTGAACATCAATACTTAAATCTATTAACTCTTAACAGCTCCATTTGTATCCAAATCTATTTCCTATGTAAGGAAACACTCCAGGTACAAAGAAATTTAACACACACCTCCCCTTGCCTGGTTACTCCTTTTCATATCTTTACCTGTCCCAGCTCAGCAGTCACTATTGCCACATGGATTTCCCCAGCTAGCCTAAAGAACAGCATTGAACCAGGCAAACCAGTCTTCACTGCCCTGGACCAGAATTAGATGGGGCCTGGCTACTTCTACTGTCCTCTCTGACCAAGACCAGAATAGGAAGTCCTAGACAGACAAAGCAGGGAGGAAAATGTAAAACAAAATTGGAAATCCTAAAATAAAAAGGATCAGACTAAGTGGTCTGATAGGCACCCTTGGAGCTGGGAACTGAACCTACACTAAGAGTTCAAATTTCAGCTGAGCAACAGGTCAAGAAAGTGAGTACCACCACCAGGGAGGAATTCAAACACAGGAGACCCAAAGGGCATCGTTTGCATAAAAACCAATCTCCAGGCTAGAAGGGGCAGGAAGGAACCCAAGGAAGAAATGACAAAAATTACACTGAGGAGATAGCAAACAATGCCATCAAACAAAATGGTATAAATTGTTACATGGAACATTGATATGCTCTGAGAACTTTCACTTGATTACAAAAACAAAACTAAACACAACAGTAAAGGAATACTGTTTCTTCTAGTATCAGAGGCTAGGGGCTAGGACCCTCCCCCTCCCCCCTTTCCTATCAAAACTACCTTTGACAGAAACTAAAAGAACAGCAACAAAAAAGAATGAAAATAAGTGACTGAGAGAAATCAGATTTCTAATATTAATATTTTTTAATTGACCAGATCTCTACCAACTATTTAACCTCTGCTCTGGCTTCCTTTAACCACGTTGCCCTCGCTGCACATCCTCTTTCACATCGGCTCCCTTGTTGTAAATCTAAACAAGGACCAATCACTCCACAACACAAGGTGGTAAAGAGTATGTGCCTACTTTAATACCTAATATAAAGTGAGTACACAACACAGGAAGCCCTGGTGGTTATGTATGTGCTGAGCCACAATTCATAGATGAGTGTTTCAAAAACCCCAGCTGCTACTGAGGAGAAAGATGTGAAGAGATAGCTTCACAAACTCAGAGGGGCAGTTCTTACGCGAAGGCACTGACTCCAGGGCAAGGAGTGAGTCTGGTTTGGGGCTATCCAATGCACAACTCTCTCTTCCTCTCTAGATAAACGATGTGCTTTGTGTTGTTGAGATCAGGAGAGCTCAGGGAGCTATGGCCATAAACAATGTGTTTTGTATTTGAACTTTAAAGTTTAACCTAATCGAGCAAATTAAAGACCCAATCCCTTATTGTAAAAAAAAAAGGAAAATCATTTTGTAGCCATCCATTTCTCCGGGCTCTGGATTATTTCCTCAGGCTCTGTTGCCAGGATGGCCTCCTGAAAATGTGGACCCACTTATCCAGCCTCTAGCGTGTTAAGAGTGCATACTTCTCATATTCCTTGCTAGTGTTTCTTTTTATAACTAATTTTATTGTTATTGTGGCTCTTTGGGCCAAACGCATTTAAACAATTTCAACATGTACCATTCCATGACACTGATTGCATTCAAGCGGGGCAATTCTCTCTTCCTTTTCTGAGCTGTTCCTCCCCTAGGGACAGAAATTTACTGGCCCCTAAATTTTCCACCTACTCTATCTAATTTCTGCATATAGATACAATTTTAAAGACTATAATGCTCAAGGTAGACATTCTTTACTAGTGAAGCTAAACTACTATTTATCTAAGAAGATTTCGGGAGAAATTTCTGGTTTGAGGTTTAAAATATTATCCCAGGTCAATAGTTTCAGAAGGTAAACAGTATTCATGGTCCAGAGGTCTAGATGACATGAAATTTTTAAATTCTGTCCTGCATTTCTCCTCCTTTTGGTCAGCACTCTTGCACAGAACCTTTGGTCACCATCCAGTTCTTCTGATCTCATGGTAGAAGAGGCAGCGTTCATGGGGGTGATTAGCCACATAATCCTCCATTTCCTTGTCCTATTCCTTCTTTCTATATTGGTCCAGGTGAATAGAGACCAATTATTGTACCTTGGATGGCAGCTTACCAGCTTTTACAACCCCAGGTACAAAGCAATGAACTAGGAAGTAAAAACAAAGGTACTTGACACACTAACTTGATCAATTAGTTGGGATGGTGGCACTTATACAACCAATGTGACACAAGTTCATAATGTTCATGCAACATTCAACCGCACTAGGTCTGTGGTGCCACCACTGTCCTTTTGTTTATTATTTCCCCCTAATCTTTTTAAAGATCTCAAATTGCTAAGTGAGGACGCAACAAAGCTCCAGGGGCATCCAAAGCCCATAGCTCCTCCTCCTCCTGCATTCATTCCTCCATGCCTCAGCTGCAGAGCCCTTCACTCCCAGTGCAGGGTGCACCGTGGTTCCTCTGTTCCTGATGTGGGCGCTGGTGGCACCTGCCAGACGTGCAACATTTATGGGCTCCCAGCTTCATGAAGCAGCAGCACATGATCAGGTGGTATCAAGCTGCACCAACAGGGCAGCAGCAGCCAGGACATCAGCCATGGCCACCACTGCCAGCAGCGCTCCCAGTACCTATACACCCAGTCCCCACAGCCATTTCTCTGTGCTCCCCGGGTGACAGTCCCTGAGAGAGTTAAAGTTTATTGTGCCAACCTGGCCGATAAACACATGTGGGTTTAATTGAAGAGCGAAGAGATAAATGGCTCAGTGAGCCTCGCCTTTTGAGTTCTTGGGTCTCTTGCTTTGGGATGGTCGGACCAGGGTGCAGCTGCCTTAGCCAGTTCCCTGCTTCAGTTTGCAAGGCTCACTTCCTGCAAGACATCCCTGAGGAGAAGCCACATGTATCTATATGGAGCAGCCAAGAGGAGACCCCTGCCAGTGCTGAGATGCTTACACGTTCACTGATTCGGCTTTCCTCCTGCAGTCGGCGTCATAGTATGTGTTTTGTGAGATGGAGGAGGACTTTGTGGATTGGTGTCGGATATGTGGGTTAATGTTGGAATTGTGGGCTTGGGCAGCACTGGGTTGGGAAGTTTTCTTGATGTGCACTTACCCTTTATATAAAACTCTCTCATACATATGAGTTTCTGTGGATTTGTTTCTCTAAAGTACCCAGACTAACACAGTGCCCAACTTCCAAATGTGCACAAAGTTACGATCTGGCTGCCAGCACAGCCCCTGCTTAGCTCAGCACAGACTTGGCAAGGCCAGCCTCCTGTACCCAGTAGGTTTAGCTCAGACTTTATCTAGAGCACTCCCATTAGATTTTAATATAACTGGCCCCCAGGGACTTAACTATAGATTGTATGGAGACTGCCTTATGTAACAGTGTACACAAAACATCCCAAAAGCATAACATCCTATTTCATAAAACACCTCAGGGACCTCAAGTGACACACATACCTATACATCGTACAATTTATCATCTGTATTTTCCTGATTGCTAAAGAGACCAAGCTTGTTTATTTCCCCTCCCTCCAAAGAATGGTTTTATGAAGTCATATCTTCAATGAGGAGGCCCCGGTGGTGTAATGGTTACCCAATGGGTTGCTAACTGAAAGGTCAGCATTTCGAAACCACTAGCTTCTCCATGAGAGAACGATGAGGCTTTCTTTTACTGAAAGAGTTTACAGTCTCAGAAACTCACTGGGCAGTTCTACTCTGTCTTATGGGTCTCTCTGATTCAGCATCAAATCAATGACAGTGTGTCTGGGTTCTGCTGGTTTTCAATGAAGATGTTTACTACCCTTTAACCACTTGGGGTCACTATTTCTTTATATTCAAAAGCACACACACAAAAAAATTATGGGCTTGTTAGCATTAATACCTTTCCACAGGTTTGAATCTCTCTCAATTTAAAAACGAACGGCAAGCCCAATTCACAGAATAACCGCACTCAGAAGTGAGCTGAAGAGGAATGACAGCATATTCCTTCTTGTACCCGCTCTATCCAGCTAACTCTCCCCTACTCAAAGGGGGTATCAAGTATTTCAGTAAACCAAAGTGAGTAATCGGATACAGTCATGTAAAGCAGTATTGAGAAACACACACAAAAAGAATAAAACCAGGAACCCAGAAATAATACCTTTAGAAAAACAAAACAAGTGAGGTGAGAGAACAAGTTAAAAGCAAATACAGAACTTGTCCTTCTGTGGGTATGTACTATAAAGTGTCTGGCAACGTTTTCTTACCAAAATGTTTTAATCTGATCCTAATCAAACCGGTAGCTCAAACTTCCAGTTCCCGGGAGATACAGAGGGTAAAGAAACAAGCACACCACCCAACATGATGAAACAAGCAAGTCCAGGACGTATAAAAAGTTCACCAAAAACCCCAAGTTGGTGATTTTAAAAAGCCAATTTTATTAGATACAAAAATAAATTTTAAACTGTATGAACACTCATAAAGAAACTATTTAAGTAACTAAAATATAAAATATAATTAAAATATCTTTAGTTATAGAAAAATTGGAGGTTACTTTTATTTTTACTCTAGTTTAGATACATTAAAAAAAGAGAAGAAATTTTTTAACTAAAAAAGAACTTGATAATAAAAGCTACATAATTAAATTTAGATAATAACGAAGGCAATGCTCAGAAGCAACAAAGCCCACATGGAAGAAGCACAGCAGCCTGTGCGATAACGAGGTGTCGAAGGGATCAGGTATCAGGCAACATCAGAACCAAAAAATCTTACCATAGTGAATGAGGGGGGGAGTGCGGAGTGGAGACCCAAAGCCCATTTGTAAGCCATGGAGATCCCCTTGCAGAGGGGTCTCGAGGAGGAGACAAGCCAGACAGGGTGAGATGTAGCAACGATAAAAAATACAACTTTCCTCTAGTTCCTAAATACTCCCCCCCACCCCCCACTAACATGATCCAAATTCTACCTTGCAAGTCTGATTAGACGAGAGGATGTACACTGGTACAGACAGAAGCTGGAAACACAGGGAATCCAGGGCAGATGATCCCTTTAGGACCGGTGGTGTGAGTGGCGATACTGGGAGCGTAGAGGGAGGGTGGGATGGAAAGGGGGAACCGATTACTAGGATTTACAAGTGACCTCCTCCCTGGGGGACGGACAACAGGAAAGTGGGTGAAGGGAGAAGTCGAACAGGGCAAGATGTCAAAATAATAATTTATAAATTATCAAGGGTTCATGAGGGAGGGGGGAGCAGGGAGGGAGGGGGGAAATGAGGAACTGATGCCAGGGGCTTCAGGGGGGAGCAAATATTTTGAGAATGATGAGGACTAAGAATGCACAAATGTGCTTTACACAACTGATGTATGTATGGATTGTGATAAGAGTTGTATGAGTCCCTAATAAAATGATTTAAAAAAAACAACAGAGGGCACAGTCATACACTAATAAAGTTTTATTTATTTATTTTTAAATCACTTTATTAGGGGCTCATACAACTCTTATCACAATCCATGCACACATCAATTGTGTAAAGCGCATTTGTACATTCATTTACCCTCATCATTCTCAAAACATTTTCTCTCCACTTAAGTCCCCAGCATTAGGTCCTCATTTTCCCCCTCCCTCACCGCTCCCCCCTCCCTCATAAGCCCTTGATAGTTTATAAATTGTTATTTTGTCATATCTTGCCCTGTCCGAGGTCTCCCTTCACCCACTTTTCTGTTGTCTGTCCCCCAGGGAGGAGGTCACATATAGTTCCTTATAATCGGTTCCCTCGTTCCTACCCATTCTCCCTCTACCCTCCCAGTGTCGCCACTCACATCATTGGTCCTGTAGGGATCATCCACGCTGGATTCCTTGTATTTTCTGTTCCTATCTGTACCAGTGTACATCCTCTGGTCTAGCCAGACTTGCAAGGTCGAATTCGAGTCATGGTAGTGGGAGCAGGGAGGAAGCCTTTAGGAACTAGAGGAAGGTTGTATTTCTCATCATTGTTACATCGCATCCTGACTGGCTCATCTCCTCCTCGAGACCCCTCTGCAAGGGGATCTCCAGTGGCCTACAAATGGGCTTTGGGTCTCCACTCTGCACTCCCCCCATCATTACACTAATAAAGTTTTAGATGTAACTTGAAAAAAATAAAATAAAGAAGGCAATGGGCTTGGTCTGGGTTTGGTAAACAAGTAATACATCCCTAAAGTCCAAATACGTTCAGAAAGACCATTCTGGACCGCGGGGGGCAGTCCTAAGTGTTGGCCTATTAAACACAAGGCTGGTTGTGCCTGCAGAAATGTACAGCCTTGGAAGTCTGATATAACATATATCCCCAAACTCATTTGGCTTATGGTCCTCTTTTCAGAAAAGACATTACTCAGTGTCCCCTAGCAATTAAAACCTTTTGTACTTTAACCCATAATCCAGGATAAAGTGTAGGTATCTGCTTTTGCAGCCCTCCCCCCACACCACCACCACTCCCACCCCCGGAATATTCCAGTATCCCCCAGGGGCAGTATTACCCACTGTCAAACACACTGCTATTATGAGTAGAAAGTATTGTTTTCAGGAAGAAAAATAAACAGACATAAAGCATCATATGATCTTATCATTAATTAATCTCAAACTTTTTTAAATGGCAAAATATGGAACTGAAAATACATTACCTTTGTCCGAGACTGCACATGTTCTTTACAGATGAGACATTTCTTGACTCGTGGAGAACATAAAGAGCAGGTAGCAATATGACCACATGGGCCAAAAAGAGTATCTCTCTTCATATCTGAGCACACCATGCACTCTTCCAAGGTTTCAGAATCATTACTGATCATAGAAGGACTCCGAGAACCTACTTGACCACTAATAAAACAAAATGCTCAAATTTAGCTGATTATTTCTACTATAAAATTCATTAATTAAAGTATAGTATAATTATAGCTAGACCATCACTTGTGTAATACATAAAATCTATGTTATTAAAGTAAAAAACAAAGCTTTAAAACCTGTGTAGTAGAAACTTTAATTTTGTATTTATCTGCGTGTCTGCATCTTTATACACTTCAGTAGTGTTCAAACTTCACTCTATGGGGAAGACGATGAATCTCCAACGAAGACTTCAGAAATCTACTTAAAAGTAGTTTAACATGCACACAATCTGAGTCAAAATCTGTTTTATCTATAATGAGCCAGCAGAGAACAGAATGAAGATTTTTTTTAAAGCCTAACGAAAAGCCAAATGAAGCATCATCAAAGTTCATGGCAATTTGGAAAAATCTGATAGTTCAGTTGTTGTTTTGATATTTCTTTAATTATACCCCTAAGGAAAGTAAAATTCTATTAGATGAGGCACAAAACACATTTATGTGACCAATGGCAGACATAGAAAAGGGATACTATGCTTCTTGCTTCTTTCACAATATCCAGCAACTCATGGGTATGCACCACACCCAAAGCAGAAACATCTCAGTCACCACCGTTACAGGTTGATCCATTTTATTCTTCGTTCTATGAATGTAGCTTATAGCACAGATGCATGCATGAATTCCAAGACATGTCACTTCACATGAATTATAAAAAAGAAAACCAGAACATCAGGGTAAAGGGAGCGACCGAAATGTTCACCAAGTGACAAGGATCAGGTGTGAAGTTGCACAGCAGGGTTTGGATGAAATGTAATGAGATACAACTTCTTAGAGATCTATAATATTTCACAGGAAATTAATAATGTCATAGATAATAGAAACCAGTAATATATTTAACTAAAAACAAGACAAATGTCCACTGATCATCTTTAAAAACAGAGAGAACCACCTCCACCAAGAATTGCAGCTCATTTGCATACTGGTTCACCCTCCACTGACTTAACCAATGCGTGCTGCCTGACTACGGGACTACCTGGCATCGGCAGGTGCTAGCATTACTCATTTGTGTAAGACACACCCTACTAGTTAGATTGTGCACTGCCTTCTCTTGAAACAATTGTATTAAAATTTTGATCTACTATTTGACGCAGCAATCTCACTAGTAATGCCTTTTCTCATATGTAAATTCCTCTAACACAGGAGTAACTAGACAATCAGATTAATTTAGAACATTTTCTTAGGATTTATTACATATAAGCATAGTATTAAATACTGTGGTGCTCAAAAGCTAATTAAGATACATATGCCTGCAGCAAAAATTTTAAGGAAAAGAGGGTCAAAACAAAGAGGAAGAGCAGAGACAAGGGCATTTTACAGTAGTCAAGTCCTCCACTATTAAACCACCTATGACTTTAGTTGAAGAATACCGAAGGCGTCCTGGTAGTGCTGTATGGTAGGCACTGGTCTGCCAACTGCACGCCTGTCAGTTCAAACCCTGTACAGATAGTCATTATGAGTCAAAACTGACCCCACGGCAGCGGGCCGTCTCCCTCCTCTCGTGGTTTCACAGAGCATCAAGTTTTGTAGCAATACAGAATACACACCTGACTTTTTCTTTATGGCATTTTGCCAGTGCTTTGCAGAGACTTGGATCAGGACAGAGATCAAGTGGTGACTGGCCCTTCTTATTCCGAACGCTGAGGTCGGCACCATTGGTTGCCAAGAAACAAGCAATAGATGCTGCACTTTTCTTCTCTGCACCCTGGGTACCGAGCCCCATTATTAACTGAAATAAAAAGAAAAGAGCCATTATTTTCCTTTGGGAGTCTGCTATCAATTTTCACCAACGTCAAAAAATAATACAAACACACAAGGAGGCTACAAAAATTTGGTGGAAAAAATGAAATGAAAAGATAATGGAATGCTTCCACAAACTTTCTGAAGTGTGTGTGTGTGTGTGTGTGTGTGTGTGTGTGTGTGTGTGTGAGAGAGAGAGAGAGAGAGAGAGAACGAGAACATTCTGGAAAGAACTGACAATCTAAATTGATATGGGAACACTTATGTGTTAAAGTATTAAAATCCATTTTCCTATCTTTCCCTATGCCTAATTTTGTCAGGCACACAGTTTAAGGATTAACCCCAGTTCCAGGGTAGACCAAAAATGGCTCAAAGCAGTAAGAAATCCACCTCATACCGCATGAGTAGTTCAGGCACAGGTACTAACTCCAGCCAGGTCAATAAAGGGCAACGAGACTTAGAGAGCACACTTTCTGAGTGACAGACTGAGTAACAGCATTGGTATCAAGAGCCCTTGGGTCCATTCCGACCCATAGAAGCCCTCTGTGTGCAACAAAACGAAACACCAACTGGTCCTGCGCCACGCTCACAACTGTTGTCATGTTCCAGCCCACTATTAGGACTACTCTCTTGTCTATACTATTTGGCTCTGGAGCTGCTAGGAACCAGTCTCAACAACAGTCAGAGAATCAACTGAGAAGGGAACCAAACTCTAGGGATTAACACAAGAAATGGAGAATGACATAAAACAGCTTCTAACATTATCATCTGAGCTACTGAGTCAAGGTTATAGCTATAATTAACATTTACTGAACATCTACAATGAACCAGGTAACTATTTTAAACAACACTTTCCATAACTTTGAACTCATTTAATCTTAAAGCACACACACACACACTTATTGTGAATTAGGTGCAGATTTACAGAGTAGATCATCAGTTTTACATTCAATAATTCATATACATTTGATTTCAACTCATCCACTGCTCACTGTTCCTGCACTTTCCCCACTTCCTGTTTCCTGCTTCCAGTCCTCCTCCCTTCCTAAGGCCCTGTTCTTTGTCCTGGGGAAGTGCTGCCCTCTTGATCTTGCATGGGTGATGAGTCCAACATGGGTGAGTTCAGTACCAGACCCAAAGGGTGACTAAAGATCACCTCATAAAGTTACGGCGATTGCTGTTTTGGGAACTCCAAGAGAGTAATTTTGATAGATTTTCCTGAACTCTCACACGAAGTCTTACTAGAAAGAAGTTTTAAAAAATTAAAACAGTATTGGTGGGAAAAAAAACCATGGAAGTTATACCAAAAATTTTGTCCATACATTCTTCAAATGTAGCAAGAGCTGACTTGGGGGATTCTATTGGATAGCCTTACCCTATCCACTCTATAGCCCTGATGTCACCTCTTCAGGCTTTTTTGTTCCCAAAATGAAAATCCAAAGGATGCTCCTCTCGAGAACACCAAAAATGCCTTTGTGATGTGATGAATATCAAAGAGCAGAGTTGTTCAGGGAATGGATAGAGAGATGGAAACTTCACCTTTATAAGCATGTTAACCTAGATGAAGGGTATCTTGAGAAATAATAGCTTCATATTTTGATATTTTTGTTTAATAAAACTTGCTCTGATTTTGAAGCAATACTTTTTTTTTACTTACCTTCATAAATTTAAGAAGTTAGTTTCAGGTATGAAGTGAAAAATATAACTTAATGAAGGTAAAATAGAAAGAGAAGGTACCAATAGCAGAGCTTTGAAAAATGCCTACAATTAATCGATGGTTAGGAGAGAGAAAAGGACATGAAGATTTTTCCTTAAAAACAAAAAATGCTTCTACTGGTACTTAATCACACATGATCTTCACTTACTGTGTTTTTGGATGGCTCCCAGGCAGCATCTACCTTTCCCACATCTTGCATATCTTGGAGCTGACGAAGCTGAGACAAAGTGTGATGCCTGAGAGCTTCATGTAAAGGAGTATCCCCATCCTTATCCTGAATGTCTAGTTTGGCGCCTGCGCGGACTAAAAGCTAGAAGAGAAAGGCATTTTATTTTGGTATAGTATTCATGCCATAAGAAATTACAACATATTAACATTCAGAGCTCTGGGTGCATAATTCACTAATGATCATGAGCACATCCTCATTGCTATCAAGTCAATTTTGACTCATGGCAAAACTACAGGACATAAAAGTTTTCACGGTTATCATCTTTCTGCCAGGCAGCTTTCAGATAGCAGTCAAAGAATGTGCTAATATCAGGGTCATTATCCATACAACTTAAAACAAACGACTTAACCAGATAAATAGGGGACTGAGGATTTTAAATTTTAATTTAATTTCAGACATGAGTTGAGATATTTCAAGCCCTTCTACCAGGAACAAATTATAATATTCAAAGTTCTAATAAAAATATTTTTTTAAAGTACCGATTCATTTTTGGCCATTTCTCTCTAAATATTATAAGTCATAAGAAAAGTACAAGTACCAGAGGAATTCTGGCAAAAGGAGTTTTAAAAAAAAGTAACATGAGTAGTATTTGCTAAACTACAACTTCTTAGATAAAGCTGATAATCAATACCTTTCAATTGACAAATTACACAGTAAATATAAGTATATTCAAGATTTTGCTTATGGTGCTTTCACAATTTTATATCATCCTTTCTACAACAACTCTTAGAAAATTACCAAAAAAAGAAGTGGCAATACCAGGAGGGTGGAGGGAGGGTGGGGTGGAAAGGGGGAGCCGATTACAAGGATCTACATGTGGCCTCCTCTCTGGAAGACGGACAACAGAAAAGTGGGTGAAGGGAGATGTCGGACAGTGTCAGATATGACAAAATAAAAATCATTTATAAATTATCAAGGGTTCATGAGGGAGGGGGGAGCGGGGAGGCAGGGGGAAAATGAGGAGCTGATATCAAGGGCTCAAGTAGAAAGCAAATGTTTTGAGAATGATGATGGCAACAAAGGTACAAATGTGCTTGACACAATGGATGAATGTATGGATTGTGATAAGAGTTGTACGAGCCCCCAATAAAATGATTTTTTTTAAAAAGAAGAAGAAATTCATCTCTCTTGGCAAATACTTTTCATTGCTGTCCCGCACACCAGCTGCCATGGAGTCAATTCCAATCAACAGAGACTAGAGGACAGGGTGGAAATGCTGCCCCAGGAGTTTCTGAGACTGTCAATCTTCATGGGAGCAGACAGACTCATCTTTCTCTCACACAGCAGCTGGTGGGCTTGAACCACTGAGCTTCTAGAAGTTTAGCAGCCCTACACTTAACCTGCTACATCACCAGGGACTCTCTTTGTTCCCAAAATTGTTAAGTAAAATGTCACTCAACAGCAGCATTTCTCAAACACGAGAACTGTGAGGATGGGTTGTTAGACCCCAGCTTGCTGGGTCCCATCCATCTCTAGGGGAGGGCCGAAGAACTTGCTTTTCTTTCAAGTTTACAGTTGTCACTAACTGCCACTGATCTAGGAACCAAATTTTAAGAATTTCTCCTCTAGAAAAATATTTAAACAGATAATCTTTCATACATTTTGTTTGGAATCACAAGATTACTGAAACCTAAGAACTGTATTTCAGTTTCCAGCATTTGCAGCAGTGAATGTCCAATGTTTTCAAATTAGTTTACTTTCGATCACAGATTATGAGAAAATATACTTTAAAATTTTAACTTACACATGATTTTGAAATTTTCTGATTTGAAATTCTGAGAACTCCCACATAGGACAACAAAAGCATGTAATTATCAGAGCTGTTCTGTTTTCCCCTAATAAAAAGTAAATCGTTTATCCAAAGGATACAAATTAGCCTAAAATCATAATTTTGACCTTTTTACATCCAACTATACTTAAATATTTGGTGAGAAATCTATATACAGTCTATCACCTAAATCAGTATTTTTAAAAGGTTCTAAAAGCATGTGTGGTCAAAATGCAATTGCAAGCAAAGCTTTAGATCTGCAAACTTTACCCTGACAATCTGGGTGTGCTGCCGCTCAACAGCAAGGTGGAGGGCCGTCTGCTGGTTCACATTCTGGATATCCAGGTTTGCATTACCCTGAACAAGAAAAAGATATTTTACACGATTAAATTTTGACATTAAAACAAAACAAAGGGGGACAACACCAGGGACACAGTGTGGGAATTGCGCCTGATCTGACCCCGCCATGCCGAGGCAAGGCACTGGGGGGGTAGGGGGGTGGGGGGTGTGTGCAGCAACAGCAAGGGAGGGGAGTAGAAAGATCCCCAGGGAATGATGAGGGTGGACATTGGAGACAGGGCATGGTGCCCCAACAGGCTAGACTGGAAAAC